GCGAGCAGGCAGCAGCTGGCTTCATGTTGACTCCTTAAAGAATAACGGAAAGTTTGACAAAAAACTTGAGCGCTGTGTAAAGTTTGGACAACTGTGACCAAGTGCTGCAGGGGCACTAATACTCTGCCCAAACACTTGTTAATGTGTCACAACATTTCCACTGAGATGTTGAAGTGAAGGAGAAACTCTGCAGGCTGCAGCGTTTGGGACGGTGACATGATTAAGAGGGTAGAAGAGCAGAGAAACAATCAAAATTAAGTAGTTTTTTTTCCACTCTTTTTCAAATCTTTGGACTTTCTTGTGATTTCCTAGATAATTGTATGCCTTCAGCTCTCACAAAATATGTTAATAAAACACTATGAGATAGTAGTGGCCATCATCTGCACACATAAAACAACCCGTGACAATTAGAAATTTGTGAGAATCATGCCATGCTTTAATTATTTTTCTGCGCGATCACCTATCTCCTCAAGATGCTTACAGGTTCACATTTAAAGTCTATATTTTTGTCACAATTGTTTAATTATCTTCCCCAAAAAAAGCAGTTCCTCTTAGTTTTGTTCTAGTCAGAGGATCCAAATATTAGTTGTGGTATTAAATGTGTTAGCCCAGGGTGCAAATTTCAGGGGAGCTTCGTTCCTCCCAATAAGACACGAGCTCCGCCGAAAGCATCATGGTTGTTTTCTTTCTCTAAAATATTGTCAATTTCCTACTTTGGCCACGCATTTCTATTTTTTCGCATTTTCATCAGTATCGTGTGTTAAAGTTATTGATGTATGATTCATGCATGAGGGTGATTCATCACTCTTTTTTTTAATAAAGATACCAGCATGCATGCTGTTTCTGCCGTTACCGCTGAAGCATGGGGGCGAAATATCATAAACTTCACCCCCTTTAGCTCAAAAAACAGAGCAAAAGCTGAACTTTCTCTGTGCAAACTGCCATAAAATAAAACTGAAGAACAAATGTGATCCTTCATGGTGCTGAAAGCAAGCGTCTGCAGCTACTGTTTATGTGTTTTCTCTACTTATTATAGGAATAATGACAAATAAAAGCTAAATCAAATGCATTATAAATGTCATTTCAGACAGCAAAAGCTACAGAGTAGTTCACACACTGATTAAGCCCATTTAATAACTCCATATTGAACATGCATCAGGGGAATAGTTGAACCTTTTTACCATACAGGGTTGAATATTCTTTAGCTTAAAGAACTTCAGTAAATCCAGCAGCTGTAATAAATGTCAGGGTAAAGTGAAATGGCAGGTGAGGTGTCTATGTAAGGGCATGATGTAGGTTTTAGAGAAGAGGTGAGCCGTTCCTGTTGCAGAGTTCGTTTACATCTCAAGAGGTGATGGACAACAGACCCTTCTCCCAGGGCAACTTAGAGTTTTTGTTGTGGTCCTATTTTCATATACAAAGTTAGCTTGTGCACTACTCGTTCTGCCTCGCTCGCTTTTTTATCTTGATAATGCAATAAACGCCTCGATGCAGCCAACATCCGACAGATTGATGCACTCAATTCAGTCTTGTCTCAACAGGCTGCACCGTGATGTAGTGCAGCAGCGTGGTATGTGATTGTACAAACACTTCCAAAGCAGTTCTACGAATATTACAGCTTAGTTTCTCGCAAGAAGTCATCCGTTAGGTTTCTGCGCATGGTGTTTGCTGCTAAAACATCACTGCTGCTATAAACGCAAAAAGATCTGGCAGTTTGTTTAGACCAAAGCTTTACTTTAGCAACAGACTTTGAACAAGTCGGTCTTTGTTTCTGCAGGAATATGAAGTGATCAGCAGGTTTGCAAGCAGATTGTGCTGTGTGTCTGTGTTAGTACGACAGCACTAGTATTTTAGTCATGTAGAGTCTGTGTTTTCTCAATATGGCGTTTGAGCGATCGTTAACTGAGGAATTGGAGAAAAGCACCAGGCAAACAAAGAGGTGATAGATGCTCAAAGATACACCTGTCATACTCTGGTGTTTTTGAAACTTAAATGTTATGTGGCTCACAGCGAGAGTCTTGGGTGAAAATCTTGGCTGTGGTCCCCATGTGTGGAGGTCACATGTTCACCCCATGTTCCTATTTTTTTTTTTTCCCACAGTCCAAACACATACAGGTCACATGAATCAGAGACTCTGTATTTCTAATCTCTTCACAGGTTGTTAAGGCTTTATGGTGTTTTTCCAACACGGGCAGCTACATGAATGAATGAATGAATGAATAAACAGGCTCACGGCTCCGGGAAAACAGGACAAGGCTTGAATGTTTGTTGCTTTTACTTCCTACGTTTCACTCTGTGCTGGTTTCCAAATCCAAAATAGCTCAGGCCCAGTTTACACTTGGCAGCAAAACGTGTTGTGGCTCTTCCAAATGTACACAATATTAGGGCCGATCACTCACACGTGATGATTTTTCTGACATTTATAGGTTAAACAATTTGAAACATGACGAGTTTGTGCTGGCAAGTGACCTCTTATAGTCATATTAGTTCGTAATGACTGCAGTAGAGGAGAAAGTTCCATGCTGTGGCTGAAGAGCAGTAAAACCCTTTAAGAGGAAGTTGAGGGTGGATGGTTGGGCATACTGTATGTCTAAAGAGTTTTACTCGACAAAACTTAACCAGACATAGGTGGCAGATATGTAAAAGCCTGTTTTGTGATGTAGCCCTCAGACGATGCATAAGCAGTCTTTGTCTTTGCCAGAGTTTGTACATTTCCTTGTGCCCCTGAAGAATCCAACTGACGTCTGCTGTTGCGCCCCGTCATTGTACTGAATAGACAAATCCCCGAACATTAGGCCTCTCACTGGCCGGCCTTTGCACGGTGAGAGGAGCATGGCCCCGTAACAATAGCAAGGCCAGCGGTGGAGGCTCTGTTCCTGTCGCTTCATTAGGCAGCAATGTAAGACCCAGCAGGTTGAAAAACCACTGCCTCTGCACACATTCGGTCCTCCTGGTGAGCAGTAGACGGACAGTTATTTACTGCTTCCATTCTCCACAGCACACAGCAGCCACAGTGAAACTGGTTTAAGGGTTAAAGGAAAAGAGGGTTGGAATTAAAGAAGCTGCTGTGAAAGAATAACAAATCTGCTCGACTGTGGCACTTCTGAGGAACGTTTAAACCAGTTTGTCGCTCAGATCTCACAAACTTATAATCAAAAGTATGAACTAGTGCCACTTACAGTTTTCTCTACAGAACTCTGGTGACAGCACAACTGCTCTTCCTTAATTGTTTTCATTGCATAAGTATGTCATCGAAATTGCCAGTTCAGCTGTCTGTATATATAGACAGACAAACCCCCCATGACGTCAGCCATAGTTTTTTCTGCGCGGTAGTTTCGGAGCTCAGTGTGGTCCCTCTGGCTGGCATCATCTTGGCAGTGCCTGACTGTGCTTAATGTCAGCTAATCCAAAAACTGGCAACGAAACGGAGTATGAGTGGAGCTGAGGCGGGCCATGCAAATGTCTCTGGACTGTCCTATGATGGCACCCACCTGTTATGCATAACTTTAAGCCTCAAAACAATTGAAACTAGTGACTTGTATAACAATCAAACCCCTGTGCTGTTGGCATGAACAAAGAAATTAGCTACTGGGACCACAATGGTTTTTGTACCAGGCAGTGAAAATGTTTATTTATCCTTCAAAGTCGAGCATTTTAACATGAGGGTCTATGGGGATTGAATTACTTTTTATAGCACCCTCAAGTGGCCAGTTGAGGAACTGCATTTTATGGCAGTTCAGGGCTGGAGATTGCTGTTTGGGCTTAAATATAAAGTTGACATTTCAAAAGCCGATTTCATCTCTTTCTAACTGACTCATTCACAGCTTCAATGTCCATTCATGTTTAAAATGTGAATGATTGAAATTGTATTGTTGTTTACACTGCTTAAGTCTGCAAAACTCTAAATTGTGTACTCGAGTTCTACTTTCTGTTTTCCCAGATCTTCTCGCTAAGGTTTGAAAATATGAAAATGGCTTTAAAATTTGTCTACAGCTTTGTTTTGTGTGCTGATGCTGAGAGAAGGCAGGAATTTGGGAATGTTCAGCTGTAAAATGTGTAATTCTGAATCAGTAAAGTTGGCACAGTCCTCTTTTTCATCCATATGTTAGCAAGCACACAGAGGTGAGAAAAGAATGTCAGCTGTATTTTATTTCATTGACCCAAGTTATTTGGCATCACTGAGGGATTGCTGTCTCTGCTCTTCCCAGCTTGTTCCTAAACATCATGACCAAATGTGTATTCTGATCCTCTTCCTCCTGCTGGGAGAATTAGAGCAGGATTTAATCGGTGATTAATGACACAATACACGTACAAGGTTAGATTTCACTATGCTGAGAAAACAGCTTCCAGGTTGATTTTTTGTTCCTGTTATGGGTCAACTAAACCCCAAACAGCAGCTCCAATTTGCATCTTATTTCCCTGTAATCTGTGTAAACTACAAACAAGAGCTTTTGCAATGACCCTCGCGCCTAAAGCCATCATCAGATCATCATCTTAGTGCAGATTTGATGTATATAAATGGATTTTAAGGCTGACACAAAAACCCTTCATGTGGCTCACAGTTCAAAGTTCACACCCCCTGTTTGGCTGAGGGCCCGGGCTCGTCTTTGAATGGGCCTCCTCAGACAGAAAGAGCTCTGTTGATGGCACCCTCGGCTCGAGAGTCGGCATCACAAAGATCGGCGGCTCTGGCCTTTTGAGGTGAATTAGGCATGACTGAGTCCTGCTGACAGTGAGGGGCTGGACACCCAGAGCAGACAGACAGAGGCAGCGTAGGGACTGCGGGGCAAAACTAATTTAGATGGATGGACTCGGGGACAGAGACGAGGGAGGGTGTGCGACTGTAAGCTCGCATTTCTTCAACACATATCTTTAGTGTTAGGATTATAATCCTGTTGATCTTTCAATCAGTACTGTTTGTGCTCCGATTGACAAATATCTCCTCTGCTCCAACAGGTGATTCCCGAGGACCTGATAGAAGACTGGATGTGGTTGTAGCTATGGTTACGTCAGGGTGGGGGGCGTGGGCCCTCTCCCCCTGTGGCCTTGTGTTGGTCATCTGCTCATCTATTTGTCTGTCCCAGCAGCCTCCCATCAAACCTGCAGACTGCAGCAGAAAGGAACACCCTGTTGTCTCTTACCAAGGTGAGTGCATCAACACTCGTGTCTTTCATCCATCCGTCATCAACAGAGAAGGAGGGACACTGATAAATGCTAAAAACCTTTTATATTATAGTCATCACTGCACTGCAAACAGCTAAACAAAATCAGCCTTTAATCCTTGTGTAGAGAAGTGTGGACAGTAAAGATCCCTGAATGTTGTCGAGGCTCACATATTTTAAATCTTTATAATTACAAACACAAAGAGGTCATATAGTGAATGTTTATGAGGATGATATTTGGTGCAAAAGGCAAACAATAAAAAATCCTTGCCATTGAAAACTGAACTTATTTAAATCTGAGTTCCATTCAGATATTTTGTAGATTACAAATGAGTCTCCCCTCTAATGAGTGTGAAGACGGTTTGCTTGGATCATAAAAACTCTCTGATCCTTTTGTAAAGTTAATCCATATGAGCATTATTTGTGCAGCTGCACGACAAACTAAATTAAATTTCCTCTGCATTTTCAGACAAGGAAATATTGCGTTATGGACAGTTGAAGTCTTGCTGTTTTTATCTGGTTGAGCTTCTGTTCCGCTAACTTCTGCAATCTCTCAGTCAGCATTCAGAAAAAAAAAATGAGCCCTGTTGCTGGGCTTTGCTGTCCATATTCTAAGATAAATTAGTTATGTGCTGCAGCAACAGTGATTGATTTGTTTGCACACAAAAAGAAGCTCTCATAAAAATTCACGAGCACTGCAGTCAAGTACTTATATCACAGTTTTATCGAACTTCTTTAGTTGTGATCTCGGCTTTCTTCTGCTGATGTTACAGACATGAATGACCTGACTGTAGACGTATAAAGGGAATGATGATGTTTGTTAAATACCTGTACAAATACAGTTAAAGCCGAAGTCACCTTTGCTCCCGAATGGCTCAAAGACTTCAAGATAACTTTAAAACGAATGAAGTAAAACTTAAAAGGGTCATCTGGGAAGTTTGAGTCTGTTTGGGACCAGATGATTAATTACACATTTATATTAAAGACAGTTTGGGAAAAATGAGCCACTCAGTACTGAAGCATACTTTGTCTATGCTCGTCAAAACATCTCGGATCGTTTGCAGCGTGGTCATTTTTCATTCTCCTTTACTATGAAATCGACCAAACCACTATCTATATTAAAAACGAAGGGTTGTTTATTGATTTTTGTTTGCTTTTTTATCTGCATAGGGCCTTTTTTCTTGTAGAATTTGCCTCCCGACTGCTCATGTATGTCAGTACACATGTTGAAAGACACATTTATCAAAATAAAGAAATACAGAATGAACTGATTTTTAACATGTCGTCCTTTTCCAAACATAGCACATGACTTACTGTTGAGTTTGGTTACATTAAAAGGCAGGAATAGCAACATGTTATATATTATCTACATATAATCATGATGAACTGATGAGAAACAGCTCATCCTAAAGTTGTGCAGCCATTAATCGCGTAATATTTCCTTCTAGGTTTGGCTGTATCTAATGTAGTGCACCAGATGTTTGCAAAAATGCAAGTGCAAGCTGGTGACAAGCAATGAACAGAATATAAAAGACAAAGTGTTGCATGAAATATAAGATGAAGGAGACAACAGGCCCTCAGTGCACTTGTGATATTTGCACATTTCCTGTAGCGAAGTGTGTGACTGGACTCCTGGGCTGTTTGAAGCTTGTTATTGTGTTCTAGCGGCTGAAAAATTAATCTCTCTCTCCATCTGTTATTGTATTTTGACGGACTTTGTTTGCATAAATCAGGATCTCAATTTCTAATTCCTCGTCGTTAACTGATGAGGTCAAAGGCCGAGGAATCTGGAGCAAGGCTGCCGCCGCAAAGTCGTTTCGTTCCTTCCCAGCTGCAGGATTAACGTTTTGAATGCGAGCGCGTGCGCGGGCCGTGCTTTGCCACAGGTCATTATGTACACAGGCAAGTGCACAAAAGCAATTTGGATTCAATAGCTCTCTGAAAATCACAGTTGCTCAAGTGATGGTTTGTATTCATGCTGTATTGTTGCCCTTGTTCAGAGCTGTTCAGACTGAGACCAGACAAGAATGATGGTTCAGCTTTGTTTGTAATAAGCATCTTGACACAGTCGTTGCTCATAACATTTCTAAACGGTCGTGTCACGGTTTTCGTGAGATTAATTAAGAATCCGACGCATTGTGTTTTAATGTAAGATAATAGACGCCTCTCAGGTGACATTTATCTGCATTAATAGAGATTTTCTGTCGTCGAAGCTCGCAATGGGACACGCTGGAACTTATAAGTGTCAACGCTGTGGAACTATGCGTGACAGTTCTGCGGTACACTGGGATTTATATGAAATTAATAAATGTTTTGGTGTTGTGTCTGCAGCATAGCTCATTAAATGTTCTCCTTTAGCTGTCTAACAACTGTGAAAGGGCCTTTGATGGTATTATTTTGACTGGATGTCAGTTTAAATTCAGCTCAAAGTGTTCGCCTGGCAAACCGTGCTGTTATTGTTTTGGATAGATTTGTCCCACAAGCTGGCTATCAAGTGAGAGCAACAAGCATTCATTTTAGTGAGGCGGCAGCAGTAATTTGCTCTAAAAACGCTGTGGGAGGGATTAATTTGTTGCACTTTTTTTTCGTACGTGGCTTGTTCAAACTGCCAAAAGTAACTTTAGTTATTGTTCACTTTAGGTTCGCTGTCATTGTGTCTGCGTGAGTAGAGGCTTTTAATCAAGACCGCGTAGTAGAATCCATCACAATAATCAACGTAATTTATACGGCAGCATTTAAAAATGGTAAAAAATGAAATATTCAACAGTACTATTAAATCTATGCAAATAAAAGTACAGAGAATTACATCGAATAAAGCATGCAGCCACAAGCTAAGATAAATGAGTGAAATTAAGAACAATAGGCTGTTTTTGTCTCCTCTTATTCATTTTATAATTGCCTTTGCATATATAAAAATCTACTCCTAATAAAATTGTTGATGATTTTTAACCATCTACATTTATTCAAAGAAACTCCCTCAGTTCAGTTTCTAGTTTCAGATGTTTTCAGCTTGACACACCACCAAAGAATCAGATACCTGGTACAAAAAGAAAACGCTTCAAATTCTACATTATTATCCTCAAGATTCATGACTTTATGAGTAACAAACACATTTCTTGCTTATTAAATGCCCAGCATGTGAGATGCATGGTAATCTATTGGCAGAAATGGAATATTATACCTGAATTGTTGGTTTTCATGACATTAAAATGAGCCTTTTGATATCAATGTGGGCATCGGGCCCTCCTCCACAGTTGTGTTTCTACACTGGATAAACCAAACGCCGATGCCAGAAAGGACGTTTTGCATTTTTACTGGCCAACCTAGTTCCTCCTACACTCTTGGAAGGAGAGGGTGAGGCGAGGATAGACAACCAACCCACTGTCATCACATTCCTTTTTAAATATCGCCAAGCTGCGGTTGGTGCACTCAAAGTCCTCCAACTGCTTGCTCGAACGGATTTAACGGGTTTTCCATGTTTAATTTTGTAGGGTCAGTTAACTTGGTTAAAAATATTGCACGCTCCTAAACCCTAATATTTAAATTAGTCAGGGGAATTTATATAATAAATAATGTTATATGGTATTGCCAGCTTTGCCAATTTAATTTCTTAGGCATATTTGTAACATTAATCTTATTTTCTTTACTGGAAAACACTCGATTTGACCTCAAACTCTTAAAACTAGCGAGAAAAGCTCGGACAAAAACCCAACTGATCATCTTCAGCTTGTGCAGTGTGACACGTTGTTGGAGACTGAGAGACAAATTAATGAATTACACCTCAACACTCGCCAACAATTGTTGCTCAGACAGCAGAGTGGCTCCTCCGCTGATGGCAGCTTTGCGATTAAATTTCCAGAGTTCTGACGCTGAAAACTTCTCAACCCCGAACCCCAAGTCGCTGCTGATGGGCGGGCCGGTGCACTGCAGCATGTGTGTGAATGGGAGCGTCCATGTATGGTGGAAGTTTGAGCAATATGCGCTTTATCAACACTTAGATTTTGGCCATACTTCCCTGGGTCATGGGGGTGAGCCAAGTTCTCTTCTCTCCCACAATTTAGAAACTAAGTCTAGACTTTAGCTTCATGTTGAAGCCTTGAACCGAGCCTCCATTCTGGTGTCAGGTGCCAGAGGTTAAAGGGAGGTCGTGAAGCTGTCAGACAGGGATCAGGCGGTCAGCTGAGTAATTGGGGAGAAATGTGACACATCAGTTAAAACACCGAGGGCTTAGCTTGGACAGCGAGCCAGGTACCATTTGGTAGAGAATGATTCCCAGACAAACGCTGCATAACACGTCTCCCTCATGTTCCTTCTTCTTCCAACTACCTCTGCACTCTTCTTCCATATCCTTCCTTCTTATTTTGCCTTTTTTTCCCCCCCTCATCTGGTTCTTTCTCCATGCAGCGCTGAGGTCTTGGGTGTCTGAGTTCTCCCATCCAGGGGTGAAAGATTTCTCGCAGCTCGCCATGGACCTGAGCAGAAACCAGCTCGTTGTAGGAGCAAGGTGACAAATAACTGCATGTGGAGCAGAAAACGCTTAGAATTCAGCAGCACTAAACTAGTGTTTAAAGGGAAAGTATATAATCTGCTTAACTAGGGGCTCACATTTGCTTGCAGTGGACGACTATTGTCTGCAGTCCGTTGTTTTACCTCTAACATAAAACATCTCTTTTCCAGAAACTTCCTCTTTAGACTGAGTTTGAGCAACGCCTCCCTCATACAGGTAAGGTGTCTTCTGATGGTAAAGATGAGATAAAAACTATTTTACATCTTTCATTCAGATCTTTTTTAGATTCTCAGTTATCCAGGTCACAGTAATGACTTCTCTTTTTGCATCTTGAAGGCATCTCACCTCTCTTTAAAGAGCTTTCTTCACTTTTAAGTCTTTAAGAACCAAAAAGAGAGTGCTTTTGCCCAGAGTACATGGTACCACTCTCGTTTTTGGACACAGTTCGTCAGAAGGATCCACAAAAACCAACCGGGTCAAATTCATGTAACTTGCTGTAAATGTGGAGCCTAAACAAAGTGAGAACATTTAAATCTGACTTTCTTTAAAACTGAGAGATGAAGGTCTCTGGGTGGACTTCTACTTGTAGCAGCTGATTTAATACTAACAGTAAGCTGGTGTGTTAAGAAATTTGAGCATCAAAACATTAATTTCCTGCATTTTGGTGGATTTTTATGAACATTAAATTAGGAATTTGAGCCTTTTCTGCATCGGTTTATAGTCGAAAGTCTTTAGTTGTGTCAAATCAAGCTCAAGATTGTGGCACCGTTAGCTACAGATCTGAAATCTAAACCGGTTTCTTCATTTTAAGTATTGGAAGCGAATGTATTTTAGTAACGAGCTCAGTCATGATGCTGCCTGGTTGTAAATTATGGATCAAATTGTGCTTTTCTGATCATCTTAAAGTGTGTAAATGAAAGGACTGTAGAGAAACGGATGGCAATGGGGAAACAACTTCACTGGTTATGTCCCAAAGTCACAAAATTCATCTACCTGCACCTGTAAAGCTGTTTAACTAATAATTTATATCTGAAATCAACCATGTTTACACGTCCATATTAAGTTTTTTATATGCTAGAAGACATATGATCAGCAAAATGAGCAGTCAACACTGTGGCTGATGTGCCAGTAACTGTGTCAATAACACAGATTCAGACTTCTTGGGTTTCATCAGGAACAAACCTTAAGAACCAATCCTTGATGGTTTCTGTGCCATTCTTCTTCTTCTTCTTCAGAATTCATTTCCATTTCCAACACGTTTGGCTAAATTACTCTAATTTTGCAACTCTCTGCTGTGTAGCATGGAGTAGTTTTACAATCACAGTTGTAAATTCGAGGGATGGTTGACGATGGAGGTGGGGGATTCATAAAAAAAAAAGCACAATCTAGAGGAAGCAACAGTGCAGAGTTACATCTAAGTCATTTTAAGGCAGGGATGGATTCTTTTTATGGAAAAAAAAACTTCTTAATGTGTCATATTGATTCACAGACAAAGGTTTTTAGGGGTTTAATGACCAGAGAGTAAGCCGAAGTGATGTGTTTGCCTGTTCCATGTGTGTTTTTAATATACACATGAAGCTAAGTATAATTATGTAAATTCCATCCATGATATAACATTTTAAAATTCCTCCTTTATTCCCTCAGGCAACAGAATGGGCACCTGATGAAGACACGAGACGTTCATGTCAGAGCAAAGGCAAATCTGAGGTGGATGCTTTATCATATTATACAAAATTAGGGTGAAATATAACTTGTGTTGTATATCACAAATGTTTTGTGTTTTTTTTTTTATAACTAGCAAAACAGCTGTTGACATTTTCATGGTATCTCATGAACTGACTTCTGGTGTCTTTTAGGACGAATGTCAAAACTACATCCGAGTTTTGCTGATAAGTGGGAGGACCCTGTTCACGTGCGGCACCAACGCTTTCACCCCCGTCTGCATTACCAGGCAGGTTGGTACAACAGCTCATCCTGACATGTGACAATCCACGTTATCGGTTCAATCAGGTTTGAGCGATTATAACTGACTGAAACAACTGAAAAGTCTCGTTAGATATATTTACATTTCAGTCATCACAGCATGTCAAGCAAATAAAAAGGGCTGCCGCTAATGATTAATTTCATGATCAATTTATTTTCCAATTATTTTAAAAAATCTAATACGCTTTTGGTCAAATGAACAAGTCACCAGATAGCGTTGATTAACAGACTTATCGTTTCTGTACTAAAATGGAGGACGTTTTTGGCAAATATGATAATAATAAATAGTTTTGGTGGTTTTGTGCATTTGGAAAATGGTGTTTGCTCAAGATTGCATCACTCAGTTTGGATGCATTAATTAAAAGTTTTGAAATAAGGTGAGTAAGAGGTCAAAAGCAACCCACAAACTAAGAGAAAAGACATCATTTTGCAACCTTTTCGTTGTTTCTGTCAGGTTTCTAACACCAGTCAGGTGTTGGACACGGTGAACGGCGTCGCCCGCTGTCCCTACGACCCGCGCCACAACTCCACGGCTATGGTGACGGAAAAGGGCGAGCTGTATGCTGCCACGGTGATTGATTTCTCCGGACGTGACCCAGTCATCTACAGGAGCCTGGGGAACATGCCGCCCCTGCGCACCGCCCAGTACAACTCCAAATGGCTCAACGGTGATTTGTCCTTTTCACTGACCTTGTATCGACCCGTATCTCTGACCTGTTTCTCTGCTTATGGATGTGATATTTTATCTTCTCTCTTCTCCTTCAGAGCCTCATTTTGTGTCCGTTTACGAGATCGGTCGATTCGCCTACTTCTTCCTGAGAGAAACCGCGGTTGAGAACGACTGCGGGAAGATGGTGTTCTCTCGGGTGGCTCGGGTCTGTAAGAACGACATGGGCGGACGTTTTCTCCTGGAAGACACCTGGACCACCTTCATGAAGGCCCGCCTCAACTGCTCACGCTCAGGAGAGATCCCCTTTTACTACAACGAGCTGCAGAGCACCTTCTACCTACCGGAGCAAGACCTGATTTACGGCATCTTTACCACCAATGTGTGAGTGACTGTTAAAGAAGAATTTCACTGGTTTTTAAATGTCAAAGTCGAGCTCGTCATCGTCCCTCGGTCTCCCACGCTTTTGGATATTCATATTAGGTTTCTGTTGTGGCTAATTTACCAAGACAGTGCAGCTCTGACACTTTTTAATCAAAGTGTTTGTGACTAAAACTGTCATTATGAAAAGTGGTGTTGTTGGCTTCAGGTGACTTGCATTCCTGCCCAATATTTCAAAATGCCTTCACAGCTCAGCAGCATTGTTCTTTTAGGCTGAAGACTGCAAAGAAAAGCCTCCACATGGGGGTTCAGTTCATGCAGGTGTTTTAACTGACCCGCCTAGTAGCTGTTATTTTACTAATATAAGTTTGACGTTTAGGGAAATGTGCTTTCCTCGACAGTATATTGGATAATAGTCGGCTGAACAGCTTACCTGGCTCTCCTACAAAGCTCAGTGATTCTCTGTTGAGAAAATCTAAACTTCTTCATTTCTTTCTTTCACATCAAATACCTGAAATCTGACCATAGCAACATCCTCCCCTCCTGCAGGAACAGCATATCAGCTTCTGCAGTCTGTGCCTTCAATCTGAGCTCCATCACCCAGGCCTTCAATGGACCCTTCCGCTACCAGGAGAACCCTCGCACCGCTTGGCTCTCCACCCCAAACCCCATACCCAATTTTCAGGTATCTCACACATTGAAAAATAAAAAATGTTCCAAAGTGGACCCACGCAGCTGTTTTTCTTCGGTGTTAATAGGTGTGAGAATGCTAAACAGACAGCTTTGCCCCTCCACAATTTCCCAGCCTTTTCCCTCTAAAGGCTTGTATAGGACTTTTAAAAAGCTTGACATCTATTTTATCCCTCTGTGACAAGCAGCGATATATAAATACAGCACAGCACACACAGATTTCTACCCCAGCTGCATCAAATATGCCTCCCACAATGAGCGCTTGGCAAGTTTCCCAACACGTATACAAAACGCTTTCCAATTCGAGCTGCAGGGACATTGTCGTGACATTTCAGATTATATAATCTCTGTATTTTCATATGCAGTAGTGCTTTTGTGCTTGATTTCATATTTATATTTATTCTTTTGCAACTCATATTGGTCTCAGTCATGGCAGAAATTTTGACTTCAAGCAGAAAACCAGACTGTTTTTGAAGTTTCTATAAGTTATGCTCCCAGATTGAAGACATATTCATCAGTAATATTATATGTTAGATTGTTCTGAAGATGAAAAGAAACCTGTAAACTCTGCTCAACTTTGCCTTCTTCTTGGCTACTCAGTGTGGCACTTTGGAGGAGGGCGGGCCTGGAGGAAACCTGACAGAGCGCAGCCTCCAGGACGCCCAGCGACTCTTCCTCATGAACGATGTGGTCCAGCCGGTCACCATCAACCCCCTGCTCACCCAGGACAACCTGCGATTCTCCAAGCTGGTGGTGGACATCGTGCAGGGCCGAGACACTCTCTATCACGTCATGTACATCGGCACCGGTGAGCAAAATCGTACTGAGTTTGGATTCGCTACTTCTAAATACTGATACTTCCCTTCCTAATTTATCACCAACTATGCTATACACCTGATTTTTTTCACCCCAGAGCTTTTCTATTGTTCTTTTTGTGTAACCAGAATACGGCACCATCCTGAAGGCTCTCTCCACCACAAATAAAAGCCTTCACGGCTGCTACCTGGAAGAGCTCAGGATCCTTCCTGAGGGGAAGCTGGGACCAATCAAGAGTCTGCAAATCCTCCACAATGACAGATCATTGTTCGTGGGGCTTGATGACAGACTGGTGAAAATCCCATTAGAGCGCTGCTCCAGCTATCCAACCGAACGGTATGATCCAGTTAGTCTTATATAATTGATATTTTAAAAAATACAAAATTAGGAACTTGGATTATTAGTATTAAGCCAATAAAAGCTGTAGTCTTTCATTCAGTAAAAGAGGAAAGGCACTTTAAATCTGTGTGCCTGCTCAGATTGTGGGCTCTCTGGTGCCGGTGGTGATTGTGCAAGTTCACTAACTCAACTTAAAAATACTTAAACTGATTTATGAACTCAGTGCCATTAAAGAGACAAACCCGTGTGGGTGTCCAAGTCTGAAAAGCCGCAACAAACGCTGACAAAGATGATTATGTTAAGAGCCCAGTCCTTCTCCCTTGTAAAGAGACCACTTTTGAACTGTCAGTCTGTATTTTAGCACGGCTCAGACTGGGAGCAGACGTTGCATAAGCAGGCTGTTAATGAATTTGTTGACAATGAATGCACGACTAAAATAGGTTGACAACCTTGCAAAGTCTTGTATGACGTACAGTACATAAAGTATTATCCCCTCTAGCAGCTACTTGAAACACAACAGACGATACAGTAAAAACACAGCACTTCTTAGAGTTTGTGGACAATCCTGCTGACGGCAGACTTCTAAACAAACCAAACTGTGTCACAGAGAGACTTGATAATTCTGCAACTGCCACAAACTGTTTGTCTGAACTCATGTTAGTTATTGCATGGAGGCTCGGGACCCTTACTGTGGCTGGGATCACAAACAGAAGCGCTGCACCACCATCGAGGAGAGCTCCAACATGAACCAGTGGACCCAAAACATCACAGAATGCCCAGTAAGGCACACAGATTATCTGGTGTATTGATCTTTACTGTAGAATATTTTGGCTTTTGATAGAAATTTAATGAGAAGTTCTTTGTTTGTTAATAAGTACTGATTGTAGATTTTAACCTACTATTGGTGCATGTAGACAAATGTGACAAATTCATGCGTGTTTGATCCTCTCAAATCCTCTCTGGAGGTGAGGAACCTGACGCAGGATGGTGGTTTTGGTCCGTGGGCACCGTGGCAACCTTGCAACCACGATGACGGCGAGGGCTCCATCAGCAGCTGTGTGTGCCGGTCCCGCTCATGCAACGGACCGGTAGCCAGATGTGGAGGGGTGGCATGCAAAGGCCCGACCATCCAGGTGGCAAACTGTTCCAGGTACAGTTCCTTTTATGCAGACGTTAACTATCCCGATTCTAATGCTTGAAAATCAACCACACCAGACTGAATAATTGCTTTGGCCGAGCATGTATTGTGGAAACAACAAGAAGTAATCAACTTTGCTCGGAGATCAATTAGCCTAAGCTGCTGATATTCAATATTTCATAAGAATGAAACACTGGGCTAATAAATCTTAAAATGTTTTATCAATACAACTGTTATATTATTACAAAAGACCTCATTAAAGGAGAGAATGACTGATTAAAAAGTCACAACATGATTGCATTTGAAGGGTTTGTCTCTACACAATGAGACCTAAAGATTACATTATCGACGAATAAACAGTGGAGAAGTTGGAGAGACACCGAGGAAAGTTCTATTGTTCATTCAGACATCAGACTCCAATCATCAGACTCATATTATAGATTTGTTGCTAGCTATTCAAGCTAGCTGCTACCATTCAAGGTGATGCATACAAATCTATGATCTGCATCTCAACATTTGTTCCTCAGAAACGGCGGCTGGACGCCCTGGTCTTCATGGGGTCAGTGCAGCAGCAGTTGCGGCATCGGGTTCGAAGTGAGGCAGCGGTCCTGCAACAACCCCGCGCCTCGGCATGGCGGTCGGATCTGCGTCGGCCAGGGTCGAGAAGAGAGGTGAGGGGGGAGCGAGTTTGCACCAGGAGGTAGAAATGTTACTGGACTTTAAGTATTACTCAGTTTGAGAGAGGTATGACAGTTCTGTGTCTTTCCAGGCTGTGCAATGAGAAAAAGCCATGTCCCCTGCCGGTGTCGTGGACAGCGTGGGGCCCGTGGGCTCACTGCAGTGCTGAATGTGGAGGCGGGGTCCACTCCAGGACCAGAACCTGTGAGAATGGAAACAGCTGTCCCGGATGTGCGACGGTACTGCAGTGCTTGTAGTGTTTGTAAGCCTAATAAAGGCAGACACTTTATACACAATATAGTAGCAAAACAAACAAAAAAAGGCTAATCCAGATTATTTATTTAAAACGGCAAATGTGGTCTAGGCTACGTGTCTATTTTCATTAACTAGTTCACTGCTGTCAGCACAAAATTCAAACTATACAGCTACAGTATATGCCTAAATGTTAACTATCTTTTTGAGCTTAATAAGTGTAAATGTGATTAATTAAAACAGTAACATTTCTTAATTTTTCTCTGCAGAGAAGAAATTATTAACAGGTTTTATTTGGAATAATAATGACGTAAGTCTTCACCTGCTAGAGGACAAATGATTGGATTACAGAAATGAAAGATTAATCCCTTTAGGAGCATGAAACTGCTCATTGAATTGTAAGGAAATGATTCAGCTTGCATATTTGCTCTGAAGTTCTTATTGTACTCGTTGTCTCCCAACTGGTGTAATGCGCATAGAAGTTTGTGCTGAACCCTCAAGTGTTGGCCTCCCTCTTTTGAAAACTTCTGGTCCAATGAGTCAGAAGTTCTGCTGCAGGGAGCTTTAGTGTCTGCAGTGAAGGGAATCTCTGAAATGGAAAGGGTTCGGCTCTTCATTGCAACCAGAAACAGTCCCATTAAATGCAGTAATTAGTTGCAAAATAAGCCCCTCCAGAGAAACTGTAATATTTGTGTTGTTTGGCCGGATGTATTCAGGCAGCAGTCTGCAAGCTGTTCATAATGAATTTGGGAGATAGAGCACACAGCAGCAGCTTCAGCCTGTGACATGATGAGTTTTCGTCAGCAGCGATGATGATGATGATAAATCTCCTCCGTCCTGTTTCCCAGGAGTACAAGGCCTGTAATCTTGAAGCTTGCCCCGAGGTCCGCCGCAACACCCCCTGGACCGCCTGGATGCCAGTGAACGTCAGTCAAGACGGGTCTCGGCAGGAGCAGAGGTTCAGGTACACCTGCCGGGCGCTGCTGCATGACCCCCAGCAGCTCCAGCTGGGCAAGAAGAAGGTGGAGACCCGCTTCTGCCCCAACGACGGGTCGGGAGCCTGCCAGACCGACTGTGAGTAACTGGAAGCCAATAATGGAAACCTCCACTTAACCACTCTTACGCTTGTCAGTCTGCGGCGCTGCCAGCAGAATCACAATTGTAGCCACATTTTCTCTGTTTGTCAGTTGCCAGCAGGTGTCCTTGATTGTAACCGTGGAAACGCAGGTGGTGTGGTGATTACCTGCTGGAATGCAGGTGTATCGAGATACCACTTTAACCACAGGGGAGGATGTTTGTAGGCTTGAAAGTGTCATTTTTGTGGCGTTGCTTAACTTGGCAACTCTGTAGAGCGTGTACTGCATAAAACTGAGCAGAACTGTATCAGTGTGGGCTTTAAACAGTGATGTTGGTGGCGTAGCTCCCAGTCTGCCACAATAAACACAGCTGGGTCTGTGGACATCACTCAACGGATTGATTAAACATCATTGAACTGCTGTGGGGAAGCAGATGTCCACTTCCTCCATCCCTCAGAGACATTCAGGCTCTCATCATGGACTCTGGATTGTGTCACTGAAAAATGGAAATGGGATTCTGAATTTGAAATCTTGACAGTTTGGAGATGGAAAAAAAAAAGTAAAGCTGACAGGGTGAAAATGTAATTTTTTATTGTTCAGCTTAAGTTGTGTGACTGCTCTCAGGTTCTCATCTACATAAAAGAAAATCTGAATTAGATGTTTCTGCTGGCCTCATTTAAAAGCCTCAGGAAGTGCTCCTGATTCATATGTAAATACTTTGTGATTGTGGGTGTCTATGTGTGTGCGCGAGTGTTCAAGGAAATCTGGTTCGTTTCTCAACATGTCCCACATTGCACCTCACTAATTAATGTTTCATAACAGGCTGCCTGCTGAGTTTGGTAATAAAAAGATACAATTCTGTAGCTTGTATTTGAACTCAAAGAGCATTTGGAGTTTCTAAGAATTCCACTCACTCAGCAGGTTGCGTCAGATGTTGGGATCGTTACACTTTAATACTTCAGCTGAAATGGTTTCACTTCTCTTGTGTATTCCTCATCATGTAAAGGCGTCTTAAAAATTCATTGCAATGTTAGCTTTTGGAGTCCAACAAATGCTAAGATAAGTTGTGTTTTCCATCTATTTCCAGCTCTGGTTGAAGACTTAGTGAAGACAAGTGGCCGAACTCAGTCCCAGCCCCAAGGCGCCCGCTGGGGATCCTGGGAAACGTGGTCCAGCTGCTCCCAGCAGTGTTCCAGAGGCTTCCGAACCCGGAAGCGTAGCTGCTCGACGGCAGAGGGCAGGACCAACCCCAGCGCCTGTGTGGGATCACCGGTGGAATATCAAGACTGCAACATCCAACCCTGCCCAGGTAGCTGGGAGCTTCTGACTGTCACGGAGATGCAAGCACAGAATGCATGAACGAAGCTTACTATGTGTGTGTGCATTGCAGTGAGCGGAGCCTGGTCGTGCTGGTCTTCCTGGTCCCAGTGCTCATCCAGCTGTGGGGGCGGGCATTACCAGCGGACTCGGACGTGCAGCAGCCCACCACCCGCCAACGGAGGAGACATCTGCATCGGCCTGCACACTGAAGAGGCTCTTTGTAACACACACACCTGTGAAGGTATGAAAACATACATAAGGCTGCTTTTTATATATAAAACAAACATGTGGCTGAGCTGGTTCACCATCTGTTTTATGTGGATGTTATTATCTGCAGACTTCATATTCAAATATGCTGGTGACTCTCAGTTTCATGTAATACTAAAATATACAATGCAAAGTGGCATCTCACTGCATGCGAGCCTGTTTTAGACAGGGAAATGTGTAATCAGGACTGTCTGATGTGGATGAAAGTCAATATATTAAAATATTAAAAGTGTAGTCATCGTTTCAAACCCAATGTTATCAAAATGCCAAAATGTGTGTCCTGTATTTCTAAACGCCATCTTTCCTGATGTTCTCTTTTTCATCTTTTTAACATTTCATCGGATGAATCCTGCTGAATTATCATCACCAATAGGCCTTTAGCAGACGTTTGTGAAATGGCGTGTTCATTTGCATATTTGCACCTCTTTGTAAACCCTGGCCCTTTATCTTTTTAAAAAACAATATCTCATTAAAATCGTTTTTAATGATTTTGAAAACAGGTTATCTTTGTTTCTATTCATTGCATGTGTTAAGCACTTTGTAATTCTGTTGGAAAGTGCTCTGCAGAGTTTTTGTCATTTATCATAATTGGTCCTCTATGTAGATTCACTCTGTCTCTCTTGATTAAATAATGGCGCTTGCATGGACACTGATGGGAAATCTCCCACGCACAGCAAGTAACGAATCAATATTGGCTCTGAGAATTCAAATAATGTGGTGGTTGCAGCCTAACCCAGCATTCACTGGCTGGAAGTCAGAAAATTAGCACAAAAAAAAATCGCTAACAAAATGACCTTAAATTGATTGAGCTGAACAAAAAACGGAGGCAACTTTTGGACACCGTTTTTCCTTTTGGTCTTTTAAAATAAGTGCAGAGACATGGCAGGCGAATTTGGTGTAATCAACTCCTCATCTATTTTACACTTTTGTTCAGCGAACAAATAGCTCCAGCAGGCACACAAGGAGGCCGAGCTGCTGACTGATGATCACCATTACACTGTGGCCAACATTTTGTAACCTGCTATGCAGTTTCTTGAGTCACTCAGGAGATGAAAAGATTTTGTCGATGGCACTTAGTTTCACAGTGTCTCATAATAGCAGAAAGTATTTGCTGCCTTATAGCAGCAGCTAACATGGAAAATTAACTACTTTTGATTTTGAAAGTTTAAAGAGCAACCCACTGTAGCCTTCTCCTAATAAGCAGAAGATTTGGATTTGGTCTGGATGCACAAACCAATTAAAATGAATACTTTTTTTTTTTTTTTTTTTAATTTAACCTCTTAAAACCTGCGTTCACATTTTGGGTTATATTACCAGGGTAGTTTTTTTTTTCTTTTAATTTTTATTATTTTATTTTGTTATTGTTATTGTTATTTTTGTTATTTATTTGTGATTTTTTTTCTTTTTAAAATATTTTTAATATATTTTTTCACTGTATTTTTATTTTATTTATATATTTTTTTCCTCTTTGCTATTTGATCAGATCAAAGGTTAGGAAGTAAATGCTGATGCTGCATCTATTCACAGACATAAAAAAAAAAATCTGTGGAAATTTTTATTTTCTTTATTTTACCTGTTTGTTTTGTTTTTATCCTTTCAAATCTTTAATGTAGGACTTTGAGATTTTGTTGGATGAAAAGTGCATTAAAATAAAATTTATTATTGTTGTTATTATTATTATAAAAAGAAACACCCAGGAACAGATTTAAAATCCAAAAAAGACTGAATACAGATCAGTGTTATCAACCTTTTCCACTCTTGTTTACTCAAGCTTTTCCAATTCCTCCATCAGCAGGTTGGGGTGAATGGACGGACTGGGGGGATTGTGACGAGGAGGGTCTGCAGCATCGCACCCGTCGCTGTGGCGACGACGCGGAGACCGACGCCAGCCTCTGCCAGGGCAACATCACCCAGTCCAGGCCATGTCAGCCTCATGAGGTGCCAGGTGAGCACAAGTTTCCTCCATGTAGTTTGTAATTACAGTTGCCGATACGAGCCGGAAAAATCCAGTTAGATTCACACAAAGGTTTAATCAGACGCAATAAAACGCTGACTCGCTCGCTCTGCATCTGTAGAAATTAAAGAGATGATTTAATGGAGATGTCAGCAGCGTGCCTACCTCGAGAACACGGAAGCCTCCGAGAGAAATTAACCGGTCTTGTCATTTTTGTTGTTTGATCTTCCGGAGCTGTGGTGATTTTTCTTCCCTACATTGATGTGTTTTTCTTTCTTGTCCCTCTCTTTCTCTCTTCCTCTTTCATTTCTGTCTCCAGTCATTTTACCCGGACAGGAGGACCAGAGCTGCGGAAGTGAGTGAAAACAAGTGATGTCTTTTCATTTGCTCTCCCCAAATAATTATACTCTGTTCCCAGCTCACACACGCATCTTTTGTATTCTTCAGCTCCCAACAGTTCTCATATCACCTCCAAACCAAATCTCCTCCATTTAATTAGTCTCCAAACACACCTTGTTATTGTCGCAAGCTTCCAAAGTTATCATCTGCGTTCTTCTCCTGATGCGCACTAAAATGATGTCACTCGTATCTAGAGGTCGAAGCCTTTTCCCACGGCGCTACCTGACAGTTAAACTGTCAGAACGGGGCTCGTCGTGACCATCCACTATGACTGTCCACACTCGGGGTCTCCACAGCTGTAAATAGTCATTAAACACATCAGTGCGCTCATTAATGCTGCCGTTAATGGGGTAGATTTGGGCAGCCCAGACGTGTGTCATGCTCACCCAATCAAGAGTTTAGAAAAATACCTTTTTAGCCAATGGAATAATAGCACAGGCAGATCCCAGTCGCCTTTCTAACTCCTGATTGGATGAGCAGACGAGTGAAAACAAGCATATATGGATTGGTGTTCTAAATGTTTGTCCAACTAGTTGATCGTGTTTATTTATTTTAGGAATCATACAACAGAGCTAGAAGTACAGTCGTGACTCGATAATCCGACAATAGATGTAAAACCTTCTTTTATGTCGGATTGTCAAGATGGAGGTCGAGATACGAGGAGGGCTTGATGCTTGAACGGCCACTTCCACCCTGGGGAAGTGCTCCAACGGTGTGGAAGTGGCTGGAATGCTGATGCCAGTTTAGTTAGCGGTCACAGTTCTGTTTCCGCCATCGGTGGCAGTGGGGGAATGGCAGATACACTCCACCGTTGCCATCCATGTTTACTTCCACAAACACTCGCTCGCTGTGTGTGACATCGTCATGTCCTCTTCTGCGCATGCGGGACACTTTTGGGTCGTATGAAGTTCACACAGCAGATCATACACAAGTCGCATTTAACTGGAAACGTGAACAAACTCGCAAAAAAAAACGGATTTCACAAAAATATCCGAATTGAGCATTAAGTCCTGCAGTCTGAACGTAGCCAATCTGTGGGATTGTTCAGTCAGATAATACGCTGTTATCCTGATTTGTGACATATAATGTCATGTCGGAGTCGGAATCCAAGACTGTCGATATGTTAAGGCTGTTTTTCATGGGTTCCGTTCATTTTTCCTGTCGTATAGCACGGTTTTGGATCGTTAAGAGTCGGATTATCGAGTCACAACTGTGCAGTTTACAATCCCCTTTTTCCAACTTCTGGTCTCCGTTACATCCAGGTTAAACACTCTATATTTCAAACAGCCCACTAGAACGAGCATTCATGCTCTCCAGAGGATCTTTTCATGGACCTTCATTCAGGTCAACATGACATCTCTATATATATATAACATATAACTACATGGCAGGATTGCTGTGAAACTCATTGTGAATATTTATGGTCCCTAGAGGTTAAACCTTATTGCTTTGGTGATCCCATGCTCCTTTCCTCTTGCCTTATAACAAATCTTGCCCTTGCACATAACACATTGCATAAGGTTACCGGCTGATTGTCAATGCATTTTGCAGAGCACATTCAGGCTCCCCAGAGACAAAACCTTCTGTTCTAAATTGCCTTTTCATTATTACTTCATTATTCAGCCTGACAGCCTGCTCGTGTTTGCTGTTTTCTGCTTCAGTGTGTCCAATCAGTAACTCTGATGTTTCAGTCATATCAGCTGGATTAACAGTGGAGGTGTTGCTACTGTAGTTTTGATTTACAAAGGCCTGCATAATGTGTTAACCCTGTGAATCCTGAGCAGTTTATGGACATGTTTGGCTCCTGTCACATTTCTTTCTTCACTGGAATATAAAGTCTTGCACCTCCTATAGAATCACTACAGCTTGAAGTAGAAAGAAATGATTTTTTGGTCATAAAATGTAGAAAAAAATAAAGTGGAATTCATTTGATCATTCATTCTTCAAAAGAAAAAAATGGAATCAGCATTGTTCCACAAGTTTTACCAGTACTTTTATAAACTTATAGAAAATCTACCACTTAAATCTTTTATTTTATTTTTTTTTAATAATTGTCTGCTATCTTCTATGTGTGAACCTTGCCTGCAGTTCAGCCCAAGTTAGTTAATTTTTGCCAGATTGTTTTAGTTTTTCACACAAGCAGGTTAAGAAAAATGGTTTAGATTTAACAAAACGTTACATGATGCCTGTAGAACAACGGGATTTTGATGAAATCTCAGAATTTTAGGTTGATTTTGATTTTCCTGAGGGATGATTAGTTCAGGGTTAAAGTAAAAAATGTGATAATTGTTTTTATATTTATAGGTTCTGGCTCTGACAAAGGACAGTGTCATATTTAAAAACCCAACATGCTAGTCAAACCCAACAGCAGGTTTTAATGATCAGAGGATTAATGCCATTTAACCCAGGTTTAGCTGTACTGTTAGATGTTTCATGTACTCTTCTAGTGGCCTGTAGGAGCCTCTAAAACCTGATACCAAATCTGCCTCATCACACCTCAAGCTTCCACTTCACCTGCGTCCTCAGCATTATGAACCATCCTTCATCTCCTCACTGCAAATGTTTATCTAGTTATCACCCAAACGCTGGTTTTCAAAGTCCCCGTGTCTCTCTTCGTCTCTTCCCACCCCTCTGCTTTTAGCCTTCACCTTGTTCCAGCTGGTAGCAGTGGGCTCAGCCAGTTTCTTCGCCGCGGCCCTCCTGTCCGCACTGGGCTGGACGTACTGCCACCACCTGAACCGACCGTCAGCCGAGTCCGCGGTCATCCACCCCAGCACGCCCAACCACCTCACCTACAACAAGCAGGGCAACGCCACGCCAAAGAATGAGAAGTACATCCCCATGGAGTTCAAGGTGGGCTACTTCATCTAGAATGATAGCTGTTTTTTTTCTTTGTCAGTTAATCTGTAATAACCTTTCTCTAAACATTTCTCTAGACGCTAAACAAGAACAATCTCCACGTTAACGACGAGACGTGCAACCACTTCCCCTCCCCGCTGCCCTCCAGCCACATGTTCACCACCACCTACTACCCTCCCAGCCTGAGCAAGTACGACTTCCACTCCGACTCGCCCTGCAGGACCTACATGCACAGCTGAGAAGAGGCCCGACGACAAAACAACCCTCGTCATCCTCCCTGACACCTCCATGAAGCGTTACAAAAAAATGGAACAAGGTTTAAATCTCATTTCCCCATCAAATTTTAGGAACTGTTCATGAGATCTTAGAGAGTCAATGCACCCAATTACACTTATAGTTTGATTGTATTTGGCTATCTGAACAAAAACTAAAAATCAGTAAAAGGCAGCTGCAACATCCTTTTTGAGAACCAGAGTTTTCTTTACTCTGCAGAATCCACCGATGTCACTGTAAGCAGGAGCTCTTTTTTGTGTGTGGTGCAACTCGTAGTATCATTATCGGCTCTTGATTGCAATCTGTGCAGTTTCTCATTATTGATTGCTGCAGCATGCAAAGGACTTAGAGCACGGCCCGCTGCACCGGCGCGTCAAATTTCTGCCAAAACTTGCACCCATCTGTGCACCGCGTCCTCTGGTCTTTGCAGCTCGCGCCGAGAAGAAAGCGGCCTAATTCTTCACGTCCGCTGAGCTCAGACTGCACAGTGTCTGGTTGTGTAACATTCTGCGGAATAAGGACATTAATTTACAGCGACTTCTAATTCCGAACGAGGAAAGTGCATATTTATAGACATTAGCGCTGATGTGATGCCGTCTTGCGTGTAATTTTAATCTGTTGCAGCCCCCGCGACTCTCTCAGGATTAATTGGGTATAGCCAATAGACGGATGTAATTCTCCAACAGAATCTGGCGTTTTCTCCCGTTCTTCAAAGTGCAGTTTTGTTTGAGGCAGAAGAAGAAGAAGTGTTGGTTCACAGGTCGCGCTGAGGATCTCTGTAGTTGGACTGACTGCGGATTTTTGGACGCAATGACACGACTCATGAGCAGTCTTTACCTCCACCAGGTTGTTCTCTGCATCTATGACTCCCCTTCCTCTTATGTCACTCACCCTGAGGGGCTTCGTTTGTGAGAGAGCAGGACCCACAGGGTTTGAGGCTGCAGACACTGTATGTCTCTGGATCCACTGGACTTCGAACTTGATGCATTTTGGGCCAGTAAGTTCAGAACGCTGTAGACTCCAGGCAGCTTCGGCCCTTCATACGTTCCAGCTGCCGAAGGCTGATCTCTATGACTAAAACCAGACAGTGACAAACTTCCCCACACTGAATGGACATGAACAGACTTGCAGATTTCTGGCATTTTTGCTTTAATTTTCACGCCTAGAAAGAAAGTCCACCGACACTGAAGAGGACCATTTTTCCGACACACCTCACTCTGTACTGTACGTTGTTGAAGACGCACGTTTGCCGGCTTTTCCGTCGGCGGGTTCTATGAGTTATTTTAGGGTTGTTCACAGATGTTTGTATCTCTTTCTGCTGATCGAACTGTGTAAACACACGGGGCATTCACGCATATTTTCCGAATGTTAAGGTCGTCGTTCAAAAATCACCAAATATACACAGCTATACCTGAATACATTCAAACAGAAGGTGATGAATCCATGAGTCAGAAATGGATGTTTGGAGTGAATCCACTCGAGCCGCAACGATTAATTGATTTGTTGTCAACTATTAAATTAATTGGCAGCTATTTTGATAATAAGTTAACCTCTTTAAGTTATTTTTTAAGGTAAAAAAATAAAAAAAAGTCTCAGATTCCAGTGTCTTAAATTTCAATATTTTCTAATATTTGCTCCTCCAGTAACAACAAATTGAATATCTTTGGGCTGTGAGTGAAATAGATTTGAACTGATTCACATTTTTCACCATTTTCACCAACTACTCGATTAATCTGGAACATAATCAACAGATTAATGGACAAGGAATCCACACTTTCAGCTGCAGATTAAACGTTAACACTGACAAAACAACAATATCTGTAAATGCGATGGATTAACTTGCTCCAGCAGGTTTCTGATCTCTACTTTTTGTCTTCGTAGTGTTCTGAAATGGAATGAAAAGCAGGAAAAACTGCTGTAGCTATGATTTCTGAACTGCAAAACATGAAGTGAAAGCGGAAAACAGTGTTAAGGCAACTCCACTTACTTCTCACGGTCCAAAAACATGCAGGTTAGTCGAACCAGTTGCTCTAAATTATACGTGAATGTTGTCCGTCTGTATGTGTCGTCTCCTGGATCACATCATCAGGATAACATTACAGGTGCTTGTATATATGTGTTTTTCACATCTCCGTCGCCACAAACTGTAGGTTACATGCTAATTTTGTAATATTTCGAACAATTTTCTAATAAAACTCCTGAGGGGGAATTGTGATTCGGTTCAAATAATAGGTGCAGTGTTTTCGTTCGGGTTCAATTTAAAGCCAGTGAATCCATTTTCCTTTTGAGCCTTTATACAGCATGTCGACTATGTTTTTGCACTTTCAGCTGACATTCTTTACACTGTCTAAAAATGGGACTGTATTATTTTTCTACAAACACACAAAAAAAACACAATTACATTAAAAAAAAAAAAGAAAAAAACCATCCTAATATTTACCAGCTTCTTACATTCCAGGATGGTATTGTTCATATTTAAGCCTCTGCAACGTGTAAATTGCGTATCTTGTGTTTCTAAACTGTAAATACCAAGAAATGACTTCAGGTGTTTCTCACCGTTTTTCTGTGTTATGTAGCATGAAACAAACAGCCCCGATCGCACAACTATGTGTGTTTCTACAGTAAGTCTGGGTGCTTGCGTACAAGCAACTGCATGCACGGACGTTCTTTCATGAATTTACAGCCCACGTGTGTGTAAACTGTACAGATATGTTTGTGTGTGTATTCGGCAAAGAAATTGGAACTCAAAAGTCGTGTTTTGTTGTACGTGAAGGCCTCTTTGTTGTGAGACACATCAGTATATCTTCATAGTCTGTCCCTGAATGGATTTCTTTTCTCCCCCCCTGAAAGAAACAAAAACACTTCTGCTTAATACGATTGATGTGAATCTGACTTAACACTGCCTTTTGGACACTGTGAACTTTTGGTACTCTATATTTTTGTATAATGTACACTGTAAAAGAAAAAAAAAAAGAAAGAAATCAAGATGAATAAATCAATTTTGGTGCCATTATTTGTGGTTACCCATCATCGAAGCTGAAACATGTTGTATGTTGGGGCTCAGTGGTTATCACCGTTGCCTCGCAGCAAGAAGATCGC